CAGCACCGGATCCGGCGCGGCGCGGGCATCTCGAAACCGGAACACATTCGCCTCCATGTTGGCCAGCGCCGGCCTCGCCCCGACGCCGCATGCGCCACGAAGCTCCGCCCCCCCGCCTGAGTCCTGGGCCCCGAAGTATCTGGAAGCCTCTTCCTTACGCGGGGGCTCGCCGGTTTCTGCACCTGATTCTGTCCCTGGTGGTCCAGAACCTTACGCGGGGCCTCTAAGCCCTGCTGGTCCCCGCCGCGAGTCTAGCTCATCCCCCGCCGAAGTCCTCCAGTGGCCACGCCTCCTCATGCTAACTGGCTGGCCAGGAGCTCCGCCCCAGTTCTGAGCCGTGGGGCCTCTGCGTGGCCACGCCTCCTACGCTAACTGCAGCCCAAGGCTCCTCCCCCACCGGGCTGGACCCCGCCCCTCCCTAGCCCCTTAGTCAGTCTGCCACCTACCTCACCTTGCTGATCTAGTCCTTAGCTTTATGATCACCTCCTTTGACTCTTCCCACAGGCTGTCCTCTCAGGAAGACCTCAAATATTGAGGGAAAAAAAGGGCTGTTAATTATTGATTGACATATAAAAGTACTTTCCCTTCTTTGACTGCTTTAACTCTCCCATGTGTCCATCTCATTAAATGTAACCTTGTCACCAAATTCTGTCAAGCAGGGTGTGGGAGTAGAGGTGATGTGACTAATTACCAGTTTTAAGAGAAAACTACTAGGCCACTCGTTTTGCCTGTGTTCCTCTTTCTGCGAGTTAAGGGGATCCCATCATTAAGGACCTCACAGCTGTGCTTTTTGCTAACTGAACCCCAAACGCTCCACCAGTTGTCCACACATCCCTCAATTATTTCACTCACATAAAACAGTTTAAGGTGAATTGCGGTTGTGATGCACACCTGTAATCCCAGCACTTGGGAAGCAGAGGAAAGAGGTTAGGAGTTCCAGAGTGACTTCAAAGCCCGCCTCGGCTACATAATAACCCTTTCAAAATAAAAAAATAAATAAAGACATTTAATACACAATATATCACTGTATTGTTTCTGCTTCCTTCAGAAGTCTCCTAGCAGACTGCCAGAGCCTGGTTAGAGGCCCCTGTGGCTATAGCACAGCTGTCATCCTGAATTCTTGCTTTTCCATCATGTCATGGTTCATTGAATGTTCGTCCCATCTTTGTCTCATGTGTAATTTTTCTTAGTTACTCCCTCTGCTTCCTAACTGGGTTTTGTTTGTTTGTTTTTTGAGGGAGCAGATGTTTGTTTTGGTTTTTGTACATTTTGTGGGGAGTTTGGGGTTGATTGGTTTTCCATTTTTTGATTTTGTTTTTAGTCAGGTCATATATCTCATGCAGGCCTCAAACTCCCAGCCAGCCTCCCGAGTGTTAGGGTTATAGATGTCTCACACCTCCACACACACACACACACACACACCAGCAGCAGCAGCAGCAGCTGCAGCAGCAGCAGCAGCAGCAGTAGCAGCAGCTTACTCCTTTGTTTTGGGGTGCATGCTCTAGCAGCTTCTGGAATATAACAGAGGGTATGAAGGGTAACTTTTTTGAGATTGGATCAAATGTTTTTATTTTATCCCACTGCCTGATTGAACACTTGGCTGAATTCCTGCCAGGAAGAGCTCCATCCTAAGAGGTTGCCCTCAAAGGCTGCTGGCTACTCCCACCTCTGGTTTCTGGTTTCTGGAACGGTTATTTGAGGGTTGGATACCCTCATTACCACTCCAAACTTCTTATGTTTCTTTCCTCTTTCCTCAAGCAGGTGTTTATGTGATGACTACTCTAGTTTTCAGTTTTCTTAATTGCTGTATTTTCTTTTTTTAAAGCTTACCTCCACATTTTAAAGGTTGTTTCATGTTACATGACATTTTAAGAAATTGGTAGCAGCCCACTGAGTGGCACATACCTGTAATCCCAGCACCTGAGATGTGGAGGCAAGAGGATCTAGACTAGATCCTAGAGTTCATGGCCAGCCTGAGCTACACAGGGTTGGAACCAGCCTGGGTTATCTGAGGTCCTGTCCCCGCCAAAAAATGTTTTTAGCACTTTTAAAAAGAAAGATAAGTAAAAAAGAGGGCCAGAAAGATGGTGGAACAATTAAAGGCACCGACACCCTGACAACCCAAGTTCCATCCCCAGGTCCCACAGGGTAGAGGAAGAGAACTGACTCTTACAAGTTGTCATCTGACCACACACACACACACAGAGAGAGAGAGAGAGAGAGAGAGGGAGGGAGGGAGGGAGGGAGAGAGAGAGAGAGAGAGAGAGAGAGAGAGAGAGAAAGAACGTTGAAGCTAAGCACGGTATTGCTGAAACCCAGGTTGTGGCTTGTTTCATTCTTGGGCCATCACCCATGCTCCCCACTTTCCAGGAAAAGCACCCATTGCTTGTACACTTATAGGTGACTGCGGGTTTGACTGATGTTATTGGTTCAAATTCCCTTGACCCTTATTTCTGCTTCCTCACTGAGAGCCTCCCAGGGTCATTCTCTTTCCTGCTGAAAAGCTCCCCGTTTTTCTGAAAGTGCCTGGTTGACATCCCAGATGTGTCTGCTAACAACTCTTCTCCCAGAATCCTTGAGGCCCTTTTTGCCATCAGTGGCTCTCAACCTTCCTAATGCTACAACCCTTCCATACAGTTCCTCGTGTCCACACAATCATTAAATTATTTCACTGCTACCTCATAACTCTAATTTTTCTACTGTTACGAATTGTAATGTAAATACTTGATATGCAGCCCCATAGGAGTCTCGACCCACAGGTTGAGAACCACTGCCTTCTGGAGAATTCCAAGGTTCTGTACCAGCACTATTAATTATCCTTACAGGAGGATGCTCACTCCTCTTTAATATTTGTTCAGAGCCCCGAGCCAGCTTGATTTGGCATCTGCTGTATGACAGCGACTTAGGCTTAACAGCTTTGTGCTTAACAACTTGGTGTTTTTCTAAATAGCCCTTCTTCCCAGGGCCAGCCACACACTGTTTTCTAGAACAAATACACCATCGGGTGCCATGTTGATTCTAGAATCCCCACTCCACACCTTCCTTTCCAGCTGTCTATCTCCTGAGAATCTTGTCTCTGCCAGGAAGCTCCCTCTTGACCTCATGCCAAACAGCTAGTCACAGTCCACCACAAGGATTCTTAGCCAGAAGCCTGGCCCAGGGCGTGTGCTCCAGCTCTGGGAGAGGGGTCCTTCCATCTGGGTCGGGAGATCAGCAGAGCCTTCAAAGGTTCACACAGTGTGATGTTAGACTGCAGATGCTGCCCTGTAGGGGGCACAAAGCCATGCCTTATAGCCTTTCGTTCTAGAGTCTAGAACCTTCCCTAAAGCTTCTAAACTTCTAGCATGTAGCAAGCCCCTGTATAACCACCTTATACATTAGTACCTTCACTAACCTGAACTCAGAGACACCCCCACTCCTCTAAGGTAAGGGATTTCCTTTGCTCTGTGGGTTGCTGTTAGATCTCTTATCCCAGCTTCTCCCATGGTGAGTAGCCAGTGTTACTAAAAGCTACTTGATGCTGAGGGGTTTCTTGAATTCCCAGTTACCAGTGGGAACACCATGAGCTTGAGGCCAAATGATCTGGCTCTCATTTTAGTCTCTGGGGCCTGTGCCAAAACCTCTGTAACAAATGCCACTGGAGCCTTGGGAGGTTCTGCTAGGCAGGGTCACCAAGCACAGCAGCACTTTGGCTCCTTAATGTGGATGCCTGGACTAACAGCTTTTCGGGAAGTACGGGGTAACTACCACAGCTTCCCAGAACCTCCAGCTGGTAGAGGCCCAAGGATGACAATTTGCACGCTCTGCTCCTCCAATATGCTCATTGGGGAGCTTCTACAGCTTCTGGTGAACTGAACTCCAAGTTCGCAAAGGAGCCTATCTGCCTGTGATGGTCTGTGAGCTAATGTCCATTTTCTGTCCCCCACTTCTCTGCTGTGCCATCACTCTCCCTAGTATTGGCTCCCACATGCTCTGCCCCATTCAAAGACTTCTAATGTGACCCCTGGGTCCTGGTCTGTTGCAGGGAAACCCCAACTGCAGGCAGCCAAGCTCCCTGTGCACTTGAGCTGTCCTTCTCTCTCCACCCCTTCTCCCTCATTTCCGTGCATTCTTCTCCCCCACTCAGCACCCTCTTCAGAGCCAGGCCCCCATCAGAACACTTTGCAAGTGCTTGCTCCACTGCTTTCTGAGAAGCTTCTTGTGTTTCTTTACCTCTGGGACTCAGGGACAAAGGATGTTCACACCGCCACGCCTGTCCCAAGATGGCATTTGTTCTTCAGTTCCAGCACATTGGCCTGTTCTACCTCTCAGACCACTTTTCACCAATCTCTACTCTTCTTCCTTTGCCTAATCTTTAAATGTTATCACCCAAGAGCCCTAGCCTAGGGGTTTGTTTGTTTTTACATACTTCTCTGGCTGACCACATATTTGTTCTTCTGTAGGTCTGGTATATTGATGTGCTGATAATCTGTAAATATATGAATGATTGGTCCATTAATTCATAAAAACACATTTAGGTAAATTCTGTGTGTGAGATCTGTGTTAGTGAAGATGCAGTAAGGAGCTAAGCAGAGAAACTGTCCTGGCAATTGACTATGCTTAAAGATTGTCACAGTGAGCCGGGTGTGGTGGCACATACCTGTTACCCCAGTGTTCAAGATGTGGAGGGAGGGTAAATTCAAGGCTAGCCTCGGCTACATAACAAGTTTAAGCCAGCCTGGACTAGGTGAGTTTCTGTTTCAAATACTAAACAAGTCAGGTGTGGTGGTTCATGCCTTTAATTCCAGCACAAGTAGTGGAATATCTTTCAATTCAAAGCCAGCCTGGTCTAGAGCAGCTAGGGCTACATAGTGAAACCTCGTTTAAAAAGAAAAGATGGTTGCAGGGGCCGGAGAGATGGCTCAGTGCTTAAGAGCACTGACTGTTCTTCCAGAGTTACTGAGTTCAATTCCCAACAACCACATGGTGGCTCATAACCACCTTAAATGAGATTTGGAACCGTCTGCTGGCCTGCAGGCAGAAGACTGTATACATAATAAATAAATAGAATCTTAAAAAAAAAAGATGGTTGCTATGGACATATTTATCTGCCCATTTCCAACCACTGACATTCATAAAAGCTCCCACCTACTTACCTATCTCCATCCATTCATCCATCCATCCACCAACCCATTGCCTCAGTCTTCTTCATGTCAGTGGTTCCAAGTCAATGACACATCAGGAAGAGGGGGAGAAATAGTGGTTGTTATTATCTCTGAACTTATGGGTAGGATAGGGAATAAGACATTAAAGT